TCACTGCCTCCAACACCTACCTCGCTGCTGCATTCACAACACCAGCTTCACACCCATAAAGAGTGTTGGTACTACATCAGCTGATACTTCATACATTCCTTCTTCTTTGCCTCCATGATAAAGGTTTTTTTGACTCCACATATACCTAAACACACCACTCAACCTTTTTTCCCTCAACATTTCTATGATTACCTCATCCTTCATGAAATCCATCCATGTCTAGCAAATAAACGACATTGAGATTATGTATTACAATAAAGGGTTGGCAACATGCAAGAGATGGCCTCTATTTTGCCTACGCATTATGGCCGACTTAAACATAGTATTGGCTTACAGACTACTTAACACAAGACTTATTCATAGTTGTACAGTAGGAATATTTAATTATACAAAGCTGTACATTACTTTATTAAGTATAAGTTAATCTAATTTAATAAGACGAAAGGATATATTTCATATATTCAAAAATGCTTTTTTGTGAAAACAAGATTCAGTTACGTATATTCCTGTCGACAATGGATAAAAGTTCAAAAGTAATTGTTGAAATTATGACGTGGGAATACCATATTGAGTGAATGTGAGAATTGGGTAGTATGAGCAATTTAGTCTATGGGTGATTTAGAGTGACTTTTGAGAAGAGTTTTCTTAAATTGAGTTTCTACTGGGTTACTTTAGTATCTTCCTTGGTATGAAATTCCATATTTTGGGGCCCTTAATGTGCATAGAGTTTTTACACAGTGTGATAATGTGACACGAGTACATCAAAAAGAGATCCGTTCTTGTGTTATGGATCATGTGTCCCTGTGTAATGTTGGTAAGGAGAAGTTTAGAGTGAGGGTTTGTATTTGCGTGCATTGTTCTGTGTATTGGTAAGGCTCATGAATAAGTATGGATTCTTAATGGTGACAGGTTTAGACTTTTGAAATTGTGGGTATCTGGCAGGAGTGTGAATTTGTTATCATTCTGACTGCTATCTTTTGCTGGGTTATTAGAGGTTCTTTAAGGTGATTTAATTGTTGATCCCCATGCGATACAAATCATATGTGAGATAAGGGAATATGAGTGAATGGTACAGTGCCAGGAAGCTGATTGTGGAAACGTAGTAACCGGTATCTTTGATAGTATGCTCTACAGTCTTAGAGATTTTTCTTATCTATGTTCACTTTGCTGAACTTTTCTACCTTTACACACCCTTATCATTATTATATTATTGACGCCTGTAGGTGTAGCCCTTGGTTATGAATAATATTAATAATTATATTATTGGTATGAACCTCCTTACCTTTTTGTTTACATTCACTTGAATGTGAATAAACATGTACATAGTGAAAATGTAAGTTTTGATAACTGCAAGTTTTGATAAATTTCAACTTTTATAATAGATTATGTGTATATTTTATGATCGTAAATGAATAAAACCGATTAGATAACTATATATATTTTATGCATTCATGACACACCCAACTTCTTAATTTTATTCAGTCACAAATCTCCAAAATATTTCCCATCTCCAGGACTTATCCTGGATACAGGGCCTTCACTCTGAAGGAGGGTTAATGTTGCAGTTTTATAACTTAGTGTAAGCACGGGCCTCTGGCAAGACAGTGAAGGGAGTGAATGAATGGCGAATTTTTTTTCTTTTTTCAGGGCGACCATACCTTGGTGGGAAACATCTGATGTGATAATAATAAAAATAAATATTTATTGAAAAAAAATCTGCATATAATGACCCCTAATATTCAAACTCATGTTGTTCAAGGGTCAATTGTGTACTTAAAATTATATTACAAACAGATAATGCTAGATACACATCTATCCAATCCAATTATCAAACCAATCCCCTCTATACATATTAAAATGTGAAAATCCATGATTTTATGAGGAAATGTGACGAATATTTTTTTAGACAGCAACTGCTTGGTCAGCAGGGCCTACTACAGGCGCTTCCTACAGAGGCAGATAACCCAAAGAGAAACACTTTTGTCCAACATCACACTAATCACTGCTTTCAGAGACACCTATATATGAGGAGTTGATATGTCAACTCTAATAACAGCAAATATCCTAAATCTTCCCTTTAAAGAGTGCAAGGCATTGTACTTCCCCAACCTCTTAAGACAACAAGTCTGACTAACAGGTTACCGCTGAATCCCTTCACAAAATATTACTCCTGTTCACGCTCCAACAGCTTTCCAAGTCACAAAAATCATTATAGTCAACATATCAGCTCCTATCTAAACATGCTCACACATTCCTGCTTATGTCCAAGCCCCTAAGACACAAAACCTCCTATACGCCCCGTCCCTCTATCCTTTCCTCCCCGGATTACCACTACCCTACTTCTTCCACTACAGATTTGTACACCCTCATAAACTTATAAAAATGATCAAACCACCACCTCACAACACCCTCCCAGTGATCTGAATAATACTTACAGTAAACTCTGCAAAATCTTCTCCTAATTTCCACAACTAACAAATTACTGTCTCTGACATAATATTTAGCTAACCACACCTTGTCCTTAAACATGACATCCTCCACTGCTTCCAGCCTCCTCCACGCTGCAGTATTATAACAACCCATGCTTCATACCCAAATAAGAGTGTTGGTACCACTATACATTTATACATTCCCTTCTTTGCCTCCATGGATAACGTTGTCTCCACAGACACCTCAAGCCCAGCCATCCACCTTTTTTCCTTCATCCTCCTATGGTCCACCTCGTCCTTCATAAATACCCATCTGCTGACAAAACTACTCCCAAATATCTTGAACACATTCACTTCTTCCATACTCCCTCTAATCTTGATATCCAATTTTTGTCTTGCCAAACTTGTTTATACCCTCATCACCTTATTTCTTATCTATGTTAACTTACCAAACTTCCTTCCTAAACACATCTTTAAAAACACTCAAATGGAAACAACTAGTTACATCCACATAAATACATTAGTAATATGACATCTATATAATTCCAACAAAGTGGCACACGACGGTCTATTATACCCAAATAAAATGTTCTTCACTAAAATGTCTGGAAGAGGGATGAGGGAGAGAAAGAAGGAAAGTGGTGTGGAAGGAAGGGTGTTACATTTGGGGAGTTGGAACGAAAGTAGTAGTGGAAAAGATGGGAAGGATTGGTGGTGGTGGGAGGAGAGGAAATGAGTGTGGTGGTGAGAAGGTTAGGAAGGAATGGTATGGAAGGAGAGGAAGGAGTGGGTGGTGTGGAAGGAGAGGTAAGTGGGGGTGGGTGGAAAAGTGAGGGCAGGAGTTAGTGGTGGTTGGGAAGGTGAGGTAGGATGGTGGTGGTGGGAAGGTTGAGGGAAGAGTGGTGGTGGTGGGTTGGTGGTGGTGGGAAGGTGAGGGAAGGAGTGGTGGTGGTGGAGTTGGAAAGGTAGGGAAGGAGTGGTGATGGTGAGAAAGGTAATGGAATGGAGTGAGTGTCATTCCTTCCATCCCTCACACACCACACACATCTTAACTACAACATCAAGGTCCTAAAGCAAACACCAGATGGACCTCCTGGCACTCCTTGAATCACTAAAGACACCCTTCTCCTGCAAGTATTCTACTGAGACCTGGCTTAAGCATGACATCAATAGATATCTACCCTCTATCAGGATACACACCAATCCACAACTGCATACCTACCGTCTGTTTGGGGGGTGGTATTGCAATCTATTACACTGACCAAAAAAATTATCTTGTATTATCACCACTTGCTTTAGTGCTGAATATGGAGATATACATTTTTGATAATTTTACTGTAAAAAAACCTTAAACGCCTATAAACAATTCGGTGCCATTTACTGGATACCCCCACAAACATCCCGAAATTTCAGTGAGAAACTAAAGCACTAATAACAAACAGACAAATGAAATAAGCAACCACCTTCCCTCTTAGCTGGAGACTTCAACATCAACCTTGGCCTAACTAGCTGAACAGAACTGTAACTGATGTTCATCATACAATATCGAACAACACACTTCTCATACCAACAATAAACTAAACCGAAACCAGGCTCAACTGAAACGAGTGCAACCATAATAGACCACATATGGACCATATACTAGCCCCCCTTAAATCAGGGATAATCACAGATATAGCACTACAGACCACTACCCTACCTTCCTCTTGACATACATATAAACCAACCACTTGAATACAAACAAAGTTTTCATTTTAGCTCCATGAAGAGCCTCAATAAGAAGTTCACAGCTGACCTAGATACTGTTGACTGACCTACAGAATTCTCCAAGGCCAATGGTATTGACGACTGGACAACATTTTTCTTAACAAATTACTTAGAGACTAACAACAACATTGTCCTATAAAAAACAAAACGAAAAAAAACAGATCACAACAAAGAACAAACGGCTTTTGTTGCCCATGGCTAACCACAACCATTCTGAAAATCCATTGATAAGAAACAACCAATATGAAAAGCACATATAGACAGGGGCTTAATACACAAAGATTTTCTTAAACACTATCATCAGTCCTCACCAAAGTAAAAAGAAAGCCAAACAACTATACTACTCCAGTAGATTCACATACACTAGAGATACAATATAAAGAAGACCCTTGAAAACACTCTCTCAGATTCTAGGGACCCAAAAACTGAAAAAAAACAAGAATATGCCCAACTAAAACCTAATTAAACACCACTGCAATCCCACTGACATACAGCTTAACAAGATAAACGACTATCCCTCAATACAGCATACTGATGTGTTGTCTCAATACATTTTTTCCAAACTTACAAACAGCTCTAAATACATATAAATACTGGCTCTGTGTGTAGTTGCAAATTTCTTAAAAGTATCTGTAACCCCCGATCATACCAGTATTTGTAATAAGGGCTGTGAATTGTCATACCTTAAAACATATTGAGGGAATCCGTTTCCATATGAAAAAAGCACAGTACCGTAAGGACTAGCTCCATTGTTCAATGTAACTTTTACTTGCTAGGTACCTAAAAAAAAAGGCATATTCATACCTCACAAATAAGTGGTAAAGTACCAGAGTTTGACACAGGTTTCACTCTGCACACAATTCGTCGCTGTTGACCTTGGCGTAGTTGATACACACCACCCGTTAAAACATCCTTTTGAGGACACACTTCTACAGAAACATAATCCCCACACTCGCCCAGCTCTTGAACCTCCACCCACATCTCAATCTTACGAGTTAGCTCACTCCACCTAAAAGGAAATACGTACATAAGAAAAATAAAGTATATTTATCTGTATGGATAAGTGACTTGACTAATTAGTAAGTAATCAGCATTTTATAGTTCAAAATATATGGGTGACTTTATTTAACCCTTTGAGCGTCAAGACCCCTGCTCCCAAACTTGCTCATAATAATGAAGAATCCCCCCCCCCCCCAAAAAAATACAAAATGATAGAAAATCTTTTTTCTGAAGGTAATAAAACCAAAAGTTCTAAATTTGATAGGAAACTTTCGGAATACCGCCCTTGCGAAGTTAGCGGTCTCGGCGATATTTATACATAGGCAATTTTGCCCACTTTGAGCCCTATTTTTGGCCAACTCTTTTGTTCCACTAGACCAAACTATAGCTATTTTGCTAGAAGTCCTTTTATTCTATCGAATGAATACAAGAAACCACCCATTTATCTATCTCAACTACAAAAAAAGTGATCATAAATTACTAATTTGGCTAATTTCACACAAAATTCAAGACCAATTTCAAAATAGGGCCAGAATAAACAATGTATACACTCCTGGCATTAAAATGACATTTTCTCTGTTCATCAGTCCTGTCTCCAGGCCCCTCTTATATTACGCTTGCTTTTCTTTTTGAATTTTTATTCACAAAAAACAGATCATTTACTGTTGTTCAGACTACTGCACTATTGAAATAACTGTATAAATAATATCAGTGCATTCATGAGTGCATATTAGACCCACCAGTTGACATGTATTGGATGCATACCGTGATTTGTTCACTCTTGAACATCGTCAAAATCTAACATTTCTGCTACTTTGTGCCCAATTTCTAGATACTTCTAGTTAGTAAACCATTCAAAATCACCTCCATTTCTGTAATATATCTTCCAGTCTATCAAATGAGACCAAGAAAATGAGAATACAACCATAAATACCATACAAAAATACACCACAAATTCGCTGTTTTTAAACCAAAAACTTGGTCGCAGTTTTTTTTCTCATTATGCAGTACTTGCTGCAGGATTTTTTTATACTGTGCTCAATGACCACTCAGACCTGTTCTCTCATATGGATGCCAGCTTTCTCCCGCAAGATTTGAAGCCGCTAGAATTTTGGCATAGTACAGTAGGGCCCCACTTATACAGAAGGTTAGGTTGCAGGCTACTGCCATAAAGTGGAACACCCATTTTTTTTTTTTTTGCACTTATAAATGCACAGATACAATAGGGCCCCACTTTACAGCGTTTTGCTTTGCAGCGTTCCGCTAATATGGTCATTTTAAATTATGACCAAAACTCTCTATATGGCTCCCCCTACTTGACTTTCTAATATGGTCACTGCGCCCCACCCAGTTTGTTTACATTCTCCGTGAGATCCGTAAGTACTAAGTCTCTTCATTATGTGTGGAAACTCCAAAATTTCAAGTGTTTTTAAAAGTTATTTCACCCCCTTGCTGGTCTGGCCTACAGCTATTATAAACTCACAATAGACAATAAAAATAATGCATCCAGTTCTATGCTAAAAGGCAAAGTGAATTTATAGTAGCTGATATAAAAATAAAATGGTAAACAGTAGATATTAAAAAAAAAAAAAACTTGACAAAAATGAAAAGAATGCTTATGGCTCTTACCTAAACAAGTTAAAGATGTGGAAGCTTAGTAAATATAAGACAGTAATAAAGGACTGTAAAAAGGTAAATTTTTTTTTTTTTTTCAACAAGTTGGCCGTCTCCCACCAAGGCAGGGTGACCCAAAAAAGAAAGAAAATCCCCAAAAAGAAAATACTTTCATCATCATTCAACACTTTCACCACACTCACACATTATCACTGTTTTTGCAGAGGTGCTCAGAATACAACAGTTTAGAAGCATACACATATAAAGATCCACAACATATCCCTCCAAACAGCCAATATCCCAAACCCCTCCTTTAAAGTGCAGGCATTGTACTTCCCATTTCCAGGACTCAAGTCCGACTATATGAAAATAATTGGTTTCCCTGAATCCCTTCACTAAATATTACCCTGCTCACACTCCAACAGATCGTCAGGTCCCAAGTACCATTCGTCTCCATTCACTCCTATCTAACACGCTCACGCACGCTTGCTGGAAGTCCAAGCCCCTTGCCCACAAAACTTCCTTTACCCCCTCTCTCCAACCCTTTCGAGGACGACCCCTACCCCGCCTTCCTTCCCCTATAGATTTATATGCTTTCCTTGTCATTCTACTTTGATCCATTCTCTCTAAATGACCAAACCGCCTCAACAACCCCTCTTCTGCCCTCTGACTAATACTTTTATTAACTCCACACCTTTTCCTAATTTCCACACTCCGAATTTTCTGCATAATATTTACACCACACATTACCCTTAAACAGGACATCTCCACTGCCTCCAACCGTCCTCTCACTGCTTCATTTACCCCCCAAGCTTCACACCCATATAAGGTAAATACAAATATAAAAAAATAAAAATGTATATAAAAATATATACCTTTCTTAAGTAAACAAAATGGTGAACTTGTAGTGATTAACAACAATAAAAACTACGAGGTAAAGAGCTGTTTGAAATACTCAGACAGTTGACAGATGACAGCTGTCAAACAGACAGAAAAAGTAATAAGAATACAGTGGAGCCTTAACTTACGAGTGTCCCAACATACAAATTTTTTTAGATGCAAGCTGTCACTCAGTTGATTCTTTGCTCTGAGTTATGAGCCAACATCTGAGTTACGAGCCAGCTTCCCCCTCGACCCACAACCCACACACCTCACCTGTTTATCTACGATTTCATCCTTTAATTGCATGGAAATCATCCCTTTTTCTTCTCAGAACTTTCCTTTGCACTTACTTTCTTAGGAACCATGATTAGAAACAAGAAATTTGGCATAACAACTGCACAAATTGGAAGGAAATCACGACAAAATCTCCTCCCACAGCACGGTAAACAGTGCCCTGAGCCAATCAGTGTCAAGGTTCCTTGATGCTGGTGAGGGGCTCTTGATCTAGGGAATTGGATCTGTAGACATCAACCACCCAGGGAGGTACTACTGTCCTACTAAACGAGTGTGAAACATAAGCCTGTAACTGTTTTGCATGATGGTAGGATCGCTGGTGTCATTTTCTCTGTCTCATATACATGCAAGGTTGCAGGCATGTTTTGCTACTTCTACTTACACTTAGGCCACACTACATATGCATGTACAAGCATATATAAACTAACCCCTCTGGGTTTTCTTCTATTTTCTTCCTAGTTCTTGTTCTTGTTTATTTCTGCTTATCTCCATGGGGAGGTGGAACAGAATTCTTCCTCCGAAAGCATTGCATGTCATAGGAGGCAACTAGATGCTGGGAGTAATGGGCTAGTAACCCTTTCTCCTGTATAAATTACTAAAAAGAAGAAAAAGAGGAACTTTATTATAAAACTGGGATGTTTGAATGTGCATGGATGTAGTGCAGATGATAAGAAAGAAATGACTGCAAAGGTTATGAATGAAAGGAAGTTGGATGTCTTAGTCCTAAGCAAAACAAGGCTGTAGGGGGTAGGGGACTTTCAGTGGGGAGAAATGAATGGGATTAAGTGAGGAGTATCTGAGAGAGTTAGAGCTAAAAAAGGGGTAGCAATAATGTTGAAGGATCAGTTATGGAGAGAGAAGAGGGAATATAAATGTATAAATTCAAGGATAATGTGGATTAAAATAAGGATCGGATGTGAAAAGTGGGTCATAATAAGTGTGTATGCACCTGGAGAAGAGAGGACTGTAGAGGAGAGAGAGAGATTTTGGGAGATGTTAAGAGAGTGAGTAGGAACTTTTGAGCCAAGTGAAAGAGTAATTGTAGTAAGGGACCTAAATGCTCAAGTAGGAGAAGCATTTAGAGTGGGCGTGGAAGGCAAGTTTGGGGTGCCAGGTGTAAATGATAATGGGAGCATTTGATTGAACTTTGCATAGAAAGGGGTTTGGTTATAGGTAACACATATTTTAAGAAAAAGACGATAAATAAGTATACAAGATATGATGTAGGGTGAAATGACAGTAGTAATTTGTTGGACTACATATTGGTAGATAAAAGATTGTTGGGTAGACTTCAGGATGTACATGTTTATAGAGGGGCCACAGATATATCAGATCACTTTTTACTTGTAGCTACAGTGAGAGTAAAAGGTATATGGGATACAAGGAAAATAGAAGCTGAAGTAAGAGAGAAGTGAAGGTTTATAAACTAAAGGAGGAGGCAGTTAGGGTAAGATATAAACAACTGCTGGCGGACAGATAGGCTACTGAGAATACAGGCAATGGGGTAGAAGATGTATGGGATAAGGTTAAAAATATAATGTTAGAGTGTTCACCAGAAATTTGTGGTTACAGGAAAGTGGGTGAGGGAGGGAAGAAGAGTGATTGGTGGAATGATGATGTAAAGAGAGTAGTAAGAGAGAAAAAGTTAGCATATGAGAGGTTTTTACAAAGTAGAAGTGATGCAAGGAGGGAAGAGTATAGGGAGAGAAAAAGAGATGCTAAAAGAGTGGTGAAGCAATGTAAAAAGAGAGCAAATGAGAGAGTGGGTGAGATGTTATCAACAAATTTTGTTAAAAACGAGAAAGTTTTGGAGTGAGATTAATAGGTTGAGAAAGCCTAGGGAAAGAATGGATTTGTTAGTTAAAAATAGGAGAGGAGAGTTATTAAATGGAGAGTTAGAGGTATCGGGAAGATGGAGGGAATATTTTGAGGAATTGTTAAATGTTGATGTAGATAGGGAAGCTGTGATTTCGTGTATAGGGGAAGGAGGAATAGCCTCCTATAGGAGTGAGGAAGAACCAGTTGTGAGTGTGGGGAAAGTGTGTAGGGCAGTGAGTAGAATGAAAGGGGGTAAAGCAGCTGGGAGTGATGGGATAAAGATAGAAATGTTAAAAGCAGGTGGGATATAGTTTTAGGGTGGTTGGTGCTTTTATTTAATAAATGTATGGAAGAGGGTAAGGTACCTATGGATTGGCAGAGAGAATGCATAGTTTCTTTGTATAAAGGCAAAGGGAACAAAAGAGAGTGTAAAAATTATAGGGGAATAAGTCTGTTGAGTATACCTGGTAAAGTGTATGGCAGAGTAATTATTGATAGAATTATGAGTAAGATGGAAAGCAAGATAGTAGATGAACAAGGAGGCTTTAGTAAAGGTAGAGGGTGTGTAGACCAAGTGTTTGCAGAAAACACATAGGTCAACAGTATTTAGATACGGGTAAAGAAGTTTTAGTGGCATTTGTGGCATATAGCCGGACTTGAGTCCTGGAAATGGGAAGTACAATGCCTGCACTCTAAAGGAGGGGTTCGGGATATTGGCAGTTTGGTGGGATATGTTGTGTATCTTTATACGTATATGCTTCTAAGCTGTTGTGTTCTGAGCACCTCTGCAAAAACAGTGATTATGTGTGAGTGAGGCGAAAGTGTTGAATGATGATGAAAGCATTTTCTTTTTGGGGATTTTCTTTCTTTTTGGGTCACCCTGCTTCGGTGGGAGACGGCCAACTTGTTATAAAAAAAAAATTATATATATACAGTGGACCCTCGACTAACGCTATTAATCCGTTCCTGAGAGCTCACCGTTAGTCAAAATTATCGTTAGTCAAGTTAATTTTCCCCATTAGAAATAATGAAAATCAAATTAATCCGTGTAGGACACCCCAAAGTATGAAAAAAAAAATTGTTTTTACCACATGAAATATTAATTTTAATACACACAAACTGAAGAAGACATGCACAGTTACATGACACTTACCTTTATTGAAGATTGGTGATGATTGTTGGGTTTGGGAGGTGGGGAGTGTTGATGGTTTTAGTGTTTAGAAGGGAAATCCCCTTCCATTAGGACTTGAGGTGGCAAGTCCTTTTCTGGGGTTACCTCCCTTCCTTTAAATCTCTCAACCAACCTTTGCTGGCCTTAAATTCACTCACATCACCACTAGTTGCTGGCATTTTTTTCATTAAATCGTCATGCACTTCCTAGCCTTTTCACATTGATCGCTTGAGAGATTTCTATCTCCTGCTATCTGTTTTTCGTTTCCACACCAATAACAGTCTCTCAACATCTTCGAGTACTTGCGATCTCAGTTTCGAAAACATAGTTGCACCTTTGGCAAGAACAGCTTCCTTGATTGCCGTTTTCTTGGCCACAATAGTAGCGATGGTTGATTGGTGTTTTGTGTACAACCTGGCCAGCTCGGAGACACGCACTCCACTTTCATACTTAGCAATGATCTCTTTCTTCATATCCATAGTAATTCTCACCCTTTTTGCTGTAGGGTTGGCACTAGAAGATTTCTTGGGGCCCATGGTGACTTATTTTGCAGGTGCAATCACTAAAAAGGCTGTGATAACATGAAATGTTCCGATTGTATGCTTGGAAGTGACCGCGGTGGCTGGCTGGCTTGTAAACACTGGCCAGAAGTGGACGCGTCTGACGGAACAAATAGTGTTGGTCGAGTTTTTTAGCGCTAGTCGAGGCAAAAATTTTGCGTTAAAATGTATCGCTAGTCGGATTTATCGTTAATCGATGCCATCGTTGGTCGAGGGTCCACTGTATATATATATACTTCTTCCTTGCATCACTTCTACTCTGTAAAAACCTCTCATATGCTAACTTTTTCTCTTTACATCATCATTCCACCAATAGCTCTTCTTCCCTCCCATACTCACTCTCCTGCAACTACCAACTTCTGCTGAACACTTTAACACTACATTTTTAAACGTACCCCATACATCTTTGACCCCATTGCCTATATGTGTACTCTCACTAGCCCATCTATCCTCCAATATCTGTTTATATCTTACCTTACCTGCCTCCTCCTTTAGTTTATAAACCTCCACCTCTCTCTCTTAATTGCTTCTATTATTTCTACAATTATTACAATATTGCATAACAGTAAATCTTCTATTTCTTGGTGTGAATAAAAATTCATTATGTGAATAAAAAATCAAAATGAAATTAATTTGTAAAGCCTGGAAATGTAACTAGTAAACAGTGGAAATGTTATTTTAGTGCCAGGAATGCCTGCACTGTTTATTCTGGACCCTATTTTGAAATTGGAAATTGTGTGAAATTAGCCAAATTACCAATTTCCAATCACTTTATCAGGTAGCTGAAATAGTTGACTGGGTGATTTCTTGTGCTCAATCAACAAAACAGACATAATACCAGCAAAATAGCTAAAAATTTGGTTGACTGAATAATGTAATTGGCCTAAAATGGGAGTCAAAGTGGGCAAAAATTGCCACTGCGTAAATATCACTGACGCAAGACAATTGGCAAGAGTGTAATTTCGTCAATTTTCCATCAAATTTCATATTTTTTTGTTTTATTACCTTCAGAAAAAGATTCTCTACCATTTCATAAGAAAACATAACAAAATTTTTTTTTTTAAATTCTTGGACCCTGTGGACAAGTTTCAGATCAGTGGTCTGGAACCTGAAAGGGTTAAAGAAACAGATGAGTTACAGGGATGACAGGATGTATTTCTTCAGTCTCAGGAGTGGTTAAAAGTGAAATAACCTCAACAAAGAAGTGGTATACCTGGAGGGCGTTCCGAGGGTCAATGACCCACTGCCTGGTCTATCACCAGGTCTTGCAGTGGGTCAAGGCCTGATCAACCAATCTGTTCCTGCCAGCTGTGTGCAAATCAACATACGAACCACAGCCTGGCTGGTCAGGTACTGACTTGAGGTGCCTGTCCAGCTCTCTCCTGAAGGCAGCCAGGGCTCCACTGGTAATCCCCTTTTATGTGTGCTGGGAGGTAATTGAACAGTCTTGGGCCCTTGACACTTATTGTGTTGTCTCTAAGCATACTCATGGCACCACTGCTTTTCATTGGGGGCATGTTGTATTGCCTGCCAAGTCTTTTCCTTTCGTAGGGAGTGATTTTCAAATGCAGATTTAGGACTAGTCCCTCTAGGATTTACCAAGTGTATATTATCACGTATCTTTCTCGCCTGAATTCCAAGGAGTACAGGCCAAGGAACTTCAACCATTTCCAGTAAGCGAGGTACTTTATTGTACTTACACGTGTGGGGAAAGTTCTCTGTATATTCTCCAGGTCTGCAGTTTTGCCTGCCTTGTAAAGGGCTGTTAGTGTACAAAAGTACTCCAGCCTAGAGATAACAAGCTATTTGAAAAGAATCCTCACTGGCTTGGCATTCCTAGTTTTGAAAGTTCCCACTATCCATACTATCATTTTCCTAGTAGATGTGGTAGAGAAATTGTTATGATCATTGAAGGAGTAATTGAAATTTGTCCTCATAGAATGTAATATTGATTTCTGAGGCCCATTTCAATACTTGGTTAATGTCTGTTGGAGATTTGCAGTGTCCTCAGTGGATGACCCTGTCATGCAAATTTTGGTATCGTCAGCAAAGGAGAACATGGTGCTGTGGCTTACAGCTCTGTCTGTTAGATATGAGGATGAGGAAAAGGATGGGAGCGAGTACTGTACCTTGTGGAACAGAGCTTTATACTGTAGCTGTCTCTGACTTTACTCTGTTTATTATAACTCTTTGTGTTCTATTGGTTAGGAAGTTATAGATCCATCTACCCACTTTTCCCATTATTCCTTATCATGCATTTTGTGTGATATTACACCATAGCACATGGCTAGGAGTGTGTGACTCTGACAAGGGGCAAGTTGAGAGGCAGGGCCCAGAGCTAGGACTCTATCCCTGCAACCACACATAAGTGAGTACACAAAATGAACTCACCTGTCAACAAGTGATCGTGCCTTGGCTAACTGTTGATCAACTTCCCAACCAGTTCGAGCCAAGCCAAAACCAGCAGATCTGTGGCCCCAAACCTCGATGGAGAGTGCACCATCTGCACAGTGTTCTAAAAAGTCTTCAGTTACTAATACTGTGTAGTCTCTTGAGTGTTCAAACTGAAAAAAAAATTATTAATGCCATAGGATTTTGTAAAGCACTTCCAAAAGGGTTATTAAATCACAGGGCAGACAAGTGGTAATAATTTATTAATTCTTTTGGAAATAAACCTCAAATAAGGCCTTGTTATGGGCATTATACCATATAACTTTTAGAGAATTTGCGTAAATAATAACCTTGAACAAAAATGCATTTTAACAATGCATGGCCAACTTTGGCACATCACAGCTTTCTAAATCCTGCAAGTAAAAGTATGCAAAAATACACTGTCACATATTTTATAATTATCACTGATATGCAAGAAAAAATGGTAAATACATTTTTTACTTGCAAATTTTTACAAAAAATAAATTCTTTATACAGTCAAAAACAGTTATTACATGTGCTTATATACAAGTAGTTTCCATAATTGATTCCAATTCCTATAATGAAATCCAGAAACTTTTCCATTTTTATTCTTCACCATTTTATATATTTTCTGTACTGTAATCTGCATATTTTTATTTAAAGTCTGGTGATAAACCTTACCAGACTAGTGGCATTAATCTCTTAAAACCAACAAAAGTTATCCTGACCCATTAGGGTAAGGAGAGAACATGGTACTTCTCTCTTAACCCTTTCAGTGGCCATTGCGCAGAACTACATCACTGAGGTAAAAGGACGCAAGTACAACTAATGTGACATTTTATTGTGGCAATGTTTCGCTCTCCAGGAGCTTCGTCAAGCTGTTACAAACAAAAGAGGGACACAGAGGTAAATATAGGTACAGAGTGAGGTGCAAAACATAATATAATCATTATGTAGCAGCAGAGTAGTCCTTGTGGTGGTAGTAGTGGTAGTACTTGTTGTGGTAGTAGTAGTATCAGTATTTGTAGTGCCTTGAATCATCATTAATCACTATTTCTAATGCAATTAAACATAATAACGGCAGCCTCCTCCTCAAAACAATAACAACAAGTACTGCTGCTACTACTACTACCACAACAAGTACTACTACTAATAATAATAATAATACCACCACCACTGCTACTACAACCACCTACAACAATTTTATTATGTTTTGCATCTCACTCTGTGCCCATATACAGTGGAACCTCGGCTTACGAGTTTAATCCGTTCCGTGACCTTGCTCGTATCCCAATCTGCTCGTATGCTGAGTCAATTTTCCACACTTAAATTAAATGAAATGCCATTCATCCATTCCAGCAGAATTCCTGCTCTGGGAGGTAGGACAAAAATACTTCAATATGATGCTAATATCAACTCTACGGCTTATTTATCTATCACAATTAATCTAATATGACATAATAAACAATACAAAAAGCATAGAAACCTGATATATACTCTAGAATGAATATGTCATAATGTGACAAGTGGTGGTGGTGGCCATTCCCTATCTCAAGCAGCTGCCTTGTTGTAGATTAGCAGGGCAGACCTCCCACCATCCCCCGACATTCCCACACTCCCAACACCACCATCCCAGCTTCGTGAATACATGTTCAATTCCACGTCTCTCCTACAAGCTAGCTGTGTTTGTGAATTGTGTTTTGATCTTTTAATTACCATATCTTGTATCTGCCAAGCAATCATGACACTCTGTAGGCATACCAGTGTTGCTGACTTACTGAATGAGTGACTTACTGACTTGACTGACTTACTGACTTAACCCTTAAACTGTCCAAGCAGATCTATGTTCACATGTGTAGTGCTCCAAAAGTAGATCTACGTTTTTTTACATATTTTCAAATATAACAAAAAAAAAAAACTTTGATCAGTTTTTTTACACATTTTCAAATGTAAAAAAAAAAATTTACTTTTTTTACATACCTTCAAATGTTGAAAAAATGTAGATCTACGTTTGGACAGTTTAAGGGTTAACTGACTGACCTACTTACTTGACTGACTTAAATGACTGACTTGACTGACTGACTTACTGAATTAACTGACTGACTTACTGACTTGACTAAATGACTTACTGACTTGACTGACTTGGCTGACTTAACTGACTGACTTGACTGACTTTACTGATATACTGACTGACTTGACTGAATGACTTACTGACTTGACTGACTGACTTGATTGACTGACTTACTGACTGACTTGACTGACTGACTGACCAGATTGACTGACTTAACTAACTTACTGACTTGAATGAATGACTTGACTGACTGACCGAATGATTTGACTGACTTACTGAATGACTTAAAGTCAGACTTTTTCATTGACGAGGACCAGTTGTATAATGTACAGCAGGGTAAAACAGAACAGAAATCCATTACAGAATTTATGCACACTCTAGGACAACCATCAACTTTAGTACCACAGCCTCTACCATCCACCTCAGCCCAGTAGGGCCACAGCATAACTCTCCACTCTCTTCACAATCATCGACAAACACCAGCACTCACAATTTAGGGTAAGAAATACTATTATTTCTGTTGCAGTAAAAACAACATAATACATCATGACAATGAGCTACAATTATATATTCATTTTTATTTTTGTAAGATCTGGAGGTCTAAATAAAAGTTGTTTGAGGGGGAAGCTCTCATCCTGAATTTTGCTCGTATCCAGAAACAAAAAATCTACCGAGTGACTGCTCGTATCCTGAAAAACTTGTATGGTGGAGCACTCATAAGCCGAGGTTCCGCTGTATACTTCTATGTGTCCATGTATTGTTTGTAATGGCTTGACAAAGCTCCTGGAGAGCAAAACATTGCCAAAATAAAATGTCACATTAGTTGCACTTGTGTCTTTCTACTTAACATATTGTCAGTAATTTTTTTTTTTTAACACATTCGCCATTTCCCACCGAGGCTGGGCGACCCAAAAGGAAAGAAAAAAACCTTCATCATTATTCAATGCTTTCACTTGGTCACAGACTGGGCTGTGGGGCATATACCCCCAAAACCCTCTCCAGGTATACATAATCAGTGCCTTTGCAGAGGCGCTCAGATACGACAGCTTAGACATCCCTCCAAACTGCCAATATTCCAAGCCCTTCTTTTAACCCTTTCAGGGTCCAAGGCCAAAATTGGAAGGGGTGCCCCAGTGTCCAAGAAATTTTGAAAAGAAAAAAAAAAAAAAAAATTTCTTACAGAATTAAAGATATTTTTTCCTCTTCCCCATGGAGAAAATTCCAGTTTATACTGTCAATATTCAATTCCTAATCATAATAATATACTTGGTATATATGATCCTGCTTGATAAGGTACATAATAATGCATTAGGAAATGAGAAAACCAACATTCTGCTAGAAAACATGGCTGATTCTTACACTAAGTATAAAAATGATATGATGCATCAACCAAGATTTGATTAGAATTACTGATAAATGCATTATGCTGCAATTATGCACCTCCTACGAGTGCTATCATAGTACTCCCATATGTATAGCAAACCTTCTCATAGCACACATGTTAGGCTCTTGAAAATCAAGGAATAACATAAAATAGTATTATTGTTGATGCAAAGAACATGTAGGAAATAGAATTATGTTCCAATTATCCTCCAAATTTGCCAAAACCTTTCTTTTACTAATGTACTAGATAAAAATTGCAACATACATTTTCGTAGTTGATGTTTTTTTAAATCTAAGCAACAACAAAATAAAGTTACTTTTTCAGCCAAATTGAACACTTACTGATATACGTAGCAAACATCTCCAACTATAAAATATATTTCTGTTATAAGTTTATTAGAACTATTTAGACGTATCATTATGGCAGTCTGAAAACATCAGGGTGTAGGCAAATCATTGAAACACTGAAACTTTTGCCACAATTAAGAAGTATTTCAGTTACAGCATTAGTTAATCATCCATATAAATTTTACTGCCATAATTAATTTACATGGTTTTAGATTTATAAAACATTATTTTCTTTTAAAATATTCTAGCTGTGTAGAACTGTTAATTATGTGAGCATCACTGAACACAAATGAGCCAGGCCAGGAGCTGTATGAGTGACAGTATGAACCTCTTACTTGGTAACAATATTATAGCATCAGAGAGAAGTTAGTTAAGCAGGGTTACACTACAGTACAAAGACATCTTACATGTACTTGAAATTTATTATAGATTTTCTGTGTAAGAAGAAACTGAGCCTGGCTATAGCTTTAGTATAAGGAAGATTTTATTTTAACACGCTGGCTGTCTCCCACTGAGGCAGGGTGACCCCAAAAAAAAAAAAAAAAAAAGAAACAATTTCACACTAAGGAAGATATCTTTGGAAATATTTCAGGAAGATATCTTTGGAATATCACAGGAAGATACCTTCAGAAATAACACAGTAAGTTACCTCTGGAAAAAACACAGGAAGATACCTCTGGAAATAACACAGGAAGATATACGTATTTGGAAATAACACAGGAAGATTTATTTGGAAATAACATAGGAAGATATATCTGGAAATAACACAGAAAGATATATTTGGAATTAACACAAGTAATGCACAATTTTATGCTATTTCAAAAAATATTAAGTATTTACAGCACAGAAAATTATTAACATTATCTTACAAGATGAATTTATTTTATCAGAAGTTATTTTCAGAGCTTTACCTTGAATGTCATAGAATCTTTGGATGTTGGAGCTACTGGAAATTCATTATTGACAACTGGAGCAACAGCCTCACTCTCTGTTTGTCCCCAAAACTGGTATTGACAGAAGACAAAATGGGAGAGTGATGGAGGGAGTCCTGCAGCCTGCTTGATGCAAACCTGAGAAAAATTACTTCACTAGTATAACTTTCAAAGTTTATCACATATAATGGAAAAGTGAAGACAAATTATTTTACTTCACTTTAGAAATTATACCATTTGTTCATTAGCTACCTTACTTATTGTATATATGACTGCAGTTAACTGCATAAGAAATCCTACTTAATAGTTTGTCTATATCTAAAGTAACATCTAAGCATTAGGATTAGTTTACTCAAAATGCATCGCATACCAGTGGTTTTCGATAGTGCCTACCAATGTTTTATTACATGTACACTACATTACTTGTACTGCACTAAAATATAAAAATTGTACTGTATAGCCAAGAATCTTAGAGACATTCTACAGGACCTACTGTACTGGAGTATACCTGGAGAGGGTTTCGGGGGTCAATGCACCTGCGACCTGGTCTGAGACGAAGCCTCATGGTGGATCAGGGTCTGATCAACCAGATTGTTACCCCTGGCTGCACGCAAACTGATGTATGAATCACAGCCTGGCTGGTCAGGTACTGACTTTAGGTACTTGTCCAGTGCCTTCTTGAAGACAGCCAGGGGTCTATCGGTAATCTCCCTTATGTATGCTGGGAGGCAGTTGAACAGTCTTGGGCCCCTGACATTTAGTGTGTTGTCTCTCAGTGTACTCGTGGCACCCCTGCTTTTTCATTGGGGGAATGTTGCATCTCCTGCCAAGTCTTTTGCTTTCATAGGGAGTGATTTTCGTGTGAAAGTTTGGTACTAATCCCTCGAGGATTTTCCAAGTATATATTATCTTGTCTCTCTCTCACCTGCAATCCAAGGAATACAAATCAAGGGACTTCAACCGTTCTCAGTAATTTAGGTGCCTTATTGTACTTATGTGTGCCATGAAAGTTCTTTGTATGCTCTCCAGGTTAGCAATATTGCCTGCCTTGAAGGGAGCAGTTAGTGTACAGCAGTATTTCAGTCTAGAAAGTACAAGCAAATTAGGATCATCATGGGCTTGGTATCCCTAGTTTTCTAGGTTCTCATTATCCATCCTATCATTTTTCTAGCAGATGCAGTATATACATTGCTGTGGTCTTTGAAGATGAAATCCTCTGACATTATCACTCCCAGGTCCTTCACATTATTTCTTTCACTCTAATGTATGGTTAGAATTTGCTGTATATCCTGACACAGTTTTAATTTCCTCAAGTTTTCCATATCTGAGTAGTTGAAATTTCTCTTTGATGAACTTCATATTGTTTTGAGTGGCCCATCTGAAGATTTGGTTGATGTCTGCTTGGAATCTTGCAGTGTCTTTGATGGAGGAAACTGTCATGACAATTCAGGTGTAATCTGCATAGGAAAACACAGAGCTATGGCTTACATCTCTGTCTATGTCAGATATGAGGAACAGGAATAGGATGGGAGCAAGTACTGTGCCTTGTGGAACAGAGCTTGTCACTGTAGCTGCCTCAGACTTTACTCTGTTTAATATTACTCTTTGTGTTCTATTTGTTAAGAAGTTACAGATCCATCTACCAACTTTTCCTGTTATTCCTTTATCACGCATTTTATGCACTATTACACCGTGATCACACTTGTCGAAGGCTTTTGCAAAGTCTGTGTATACTACACTTGCATTTTGTTTATCCTCTATAGCATCCAGGACCTTGTCATAGTGGTCCAATAGCTGGGACAGGCAGGAGCGACCTGCTCTAAACCCGTGTTGGGCTGGGTTGTGCAACTGATAAGTATCTAGAGTGGGGCTATATCTGTTGTTTTTAGTGAGTGTGGGATAATCCCTGTGTCCATGCTCCCTCTCTATAGAATGCTGAAGGCACGTGACAGGAACTTCTTGCAGTTCTTGATGAACACAGAGTTCCATGAGTCTGGGTCTGGGGCAGAGTGCATGGGCATGTCATTTATTGCCTTTTCAAAGTCTTATGGAGTTAGGATAATATCAGAGATTTCTGAGATGACCAAATTTTGGGTCTCGGTCATAAAGAATTCATTTGGAGTGTCGACCCTTAGTGTGGGTAACAGCTCACCAAACACTGAGTCGTACTGGGACTTTAGTATCTCATTCATTTATTGGCTGTCATCTTTGTATGTCTCATCTTGCCTAAGCAGGGGCCCAATACTGGATGTTGTTTTACCCTTAGATTTGGCATAAGAGAAGTACTTTGTTTTTTTTGTTTTTTTTCAATCTCTTTTATGGCTTTTAGGTCTTCCTGAGATTCTTGTCTCCTGTAAGATTCCTTCAGCTTAAGTTCAATATTTGCTATTTCTCTGACCAGTGCCTCCCTTCATATTTCAGCAGCTTTGTGATTCTTCACCTTCATCTGTATAGGGAGCTTCTCTCTCTTTCTCTCTCATCTTCTCTTTCTTTTTCTTAACTCTCTGACTGTTGCAAGCCCATTTCTAAAACTGTCATTCTGTTGCAAAATTTTTGGAAAAAAAAAAAAAAATTCTTATGAAATGATAGAGAATCTTTTCCCGGTGGTAATAACACCAAAAGTACGAAATTTGATCGAAAACCTACGGAATTACGCTCCAGTGAAGTTAGCAATCTCAGCAATATATACGCATCGGCAATTTCGCCGACTGAGCCTTATTTTGGGTCAATTCCATTGTTCCAGTCAACCAAACTCATAGCTATTAGAACTCCATTTTTTCTATGAACTGAGTACAAGAAACTGTTCATTTACCGATTTCAACTACCCAATAAAGTGGTCAGATATTGGCAATTTGACCAATTTCATGCAAATTAAAAAAGATGCCAATTTCAAAATAGGGTCCAGAATAATCAATGCAGACATTTGTGGCACTAAAATAACATATCTTCTGTTCATTAGTCACATCTCCAGGCCCCTCTTATATTACTCTTGCTTTCTATTTTGACTTTTTATTCACACAAAAAATAGAAGATTTACTTTTTCCCCCGACTACTGCATTATTTTTAAAAAATTTGGTATAACAAACTCAGGCACTAGAAAAAGGAAATTAGACCCCCCCCAGTTACGGGGTTTTGGGGATTGTGGGGGTGATCTCCCTTACTTTTAAAACATTGGAAAAAATCAAATATACCCCCTACTTAAAGCTCAATTTCCCAAGGGTTTCTTTTTTCATCATAAAAGTAATCAAAATCATCTCGTTTTTCTGTAATATTTTTTCCTTTCCCTAAAAATGAGCCCAAAGGGAAAAACGAAATTTAAAACCATAAATCCCATAAAAAAATACACCCAAAAGTCAGCGTTTTAATCCAAAAACATGGTCGGATTTTTTTTTTTTTTCATTATGCACTGGGGGGCTGAAGGATTTTTTTTAAATACAGTTCACACGCCACACAGAACCCCCTTTTTCTCACAAATTTAACCTACCAGCTTTTTTTTTCCCGCTTGATTTGAAGCCACTAGAATTATTGAGTAATATATTTCCTGAAACACTGCTCATAAAACGCATATAACCCGGGTGAAACATCAAAGGGTTAATGGGAATTTCCTTAGCAACCTCAAGGGGCCACAAAGTTAATTTTTTTTAGGCAAAAAGGGACGGATTTTTGTTGTTTAATCCCTTTTACTTGTTTTTTGTAAAATACGTCTTACGCACCACTGTTTTTTTTTCCGTTTTATTTTGCATAAATTCTAGCGGCTTCAAGTCAAGCGGGAGAAAGCGGGAGGCCCAATGGAGAGAATGGGGCTGTGTGGTCAGTGTGCACCACAAAAAAAAAAATCCCGCCCGCACCCCATTTTTAAGAGAAAAAAAACTCTGACCGTTTTTTTTGGGTTAAAACGGGGCCCACTTTGAGGGGTATTTTTGTATATATTTATCATTGGGATTTTCGTTTTCCCTGGTCCCCCAGGTGAAATTAAATTTCACGATGAAAAAGAAACCCTTTAAATTGAGCCGAAGTAAAAAGAAAATTTCGATTTTTTACCAATGTTCAAGTAATAAAAAACACACCACACGTTTCCTTACCTTCCAAATGGGGATCTAAATTCTTTCACTAGTACACTGATATTTATTTTGCATTTTTAAAAATAATGGGAGTAACTCATAACATAAATTTTGTATTTTTTTGTATGAAAAAAAAATCCAAAAAGAAACAAATAAACAAAAAGGGGCCTTGAGAAATTTAAAAAAAGAACAAAAGGTAAGTTATTTTAGTGCCCAAAAATGTCCCCCAATTTTTTTTTCGGACCCCAATTTTGAAATTGGCATCTTTTTTAAATTTTTGTGAAATTGGCCAAAAAGGGCCAAATTTTTGACCATAAAAATTGGGGAGTTCAAATCGGGAAAAAAAGGGGGGTTTCTTGTGCTCAAAATGATAAAAAAAATGGTTCTAAAGAAAAAGCTATGAGTTTTGGGCCAAAAAGGAACAACTAATTGGGCCAAAAAAAGGGGGTCAAAGTCGGCAAAATCGCCCATGCCCCTAAGTCGCCCCAGACGCAAAATTTTCCCGGGGCATAATTCCGTGGGGTTTTTTGACCCAATTTTTGACTTTTGGGGTCATTACCATCGGAAAAGATTCCTTTTATCATTTCCCTAAGAATTTTTTTTTTTTTTTTTTTTTTTTTCCAAAAAATTTATCGACACAGAATTTACGTTTAGAAAGGGGGTTGCAACAGTCCCAAAAATTAAAAATATCTTTTCCCCGCATTTTCTTTTGGACAAAAGGTTTTAAATTTTTTTCCCCTTGTATAATTTTTTTTACAGAAGTTTAATTTTAAATTTTTTGGTCCGGGCCCTGTGAATACATATTTTGTACCCTATTATGTTTTTATCTGATGTATTGTCCCTTTTTAAAAGGTTTTAAATTTCATATCAATCATCGTTGTAATGAAGATGAGGGCCAGCGAAATTTTTTAGTCTTGTAGGCTCAAAAATTTGCTGGGAAATATACACCCACACATACACATAAATTTTATATAATATATAAAAATATATATATATATTAATATATTATATATATATAATATATATATATATATTTTCAACAAAAGGGTTTTGGGGGGCCCCTCCCACCGAGGGAGG